TTTATTTTGGTTGATTCTTCCCAAGACATTGTACCAGTTGAGACACTCACCAACAACAAACAGAAGGGTCTGCTTCCTCCTTCCTCTACCACTGTCTACATTTCTTTAGAAGAGCCTATCATGTATTGGGTCAGTCAACAAATATTGAGTAAGCATCTGCTCCATGGCATATACTGTCCTAGACACTGGGGACATAAAGTCCAATAGTACATTGCTCCTGCTTTCAGGAGCTTACAGCCCAAAGAAGGGACAAAAGGGGCGACAGTGACTACAGGACAATGCTTTCTGGGCTGGGATATGTGGGTGCAGAGGTGCTATACGAGCTTAGAAGAGGTGAAGCTCTGTCATTCTGGCGCATCAAGGAAGCTTCCTAGAAAGGCTGGCATCTGGGCTGAATTTTGAAACAAGAATAAAGGTTAACCAGAGGAATAAAGATACCATCTAGTAGGGAGGGGTGGTGAGGAGTGCAGGCTGTAGGAGGAGGCAATCTGTATAAGCAGGATGGAGAATTGTGGTTCTTGGGAGTAACTGGAATGAAAGGTGCAATCCAGGGAGAGAAGGAGGAAATGGAGACGTAAGAGGAACTATGCCATGAAGGATTTTCTTTCAAGCCCAGGCACCAGGTTTTCTGTTTATTTCCTATTGTGAATTCCCATAGCAACAAACTACTGTACCCGACCTGTGATAGTCACCCATCTGAACTTGAGTGAGTTATTATTATACTGAAAGAAAAATAGCAGAGTAGAGTTTGGCTTACTTTTCCCAGCCTTCATTGTGGGAACACATCCCAGTCAGAAAGAAATGGAAACAACAGGGTTGCCATGTAACATAGACCCTTGCCACTCAAACTGTGGTCCTCGGCCCAGCAGCATGAACACCACCTGGAAGTTTGTCAGAATTACCAATGTTCAGGCCCCACTCAGAGCTGCAGAATTAGAATCTGCATTTTAATGAGATACCCAGTTGACATGTGTACATGTGAAAGCTTGAGAAATTGTGGCATAGTGTTAAAGAGATAAGTCTTTGGCATCAGGCAGTACCAAATTTAAGTCCCAGCACATTATGTGCAATTTTGTAACCCAGGATAAGTTACTTAACGTCAATGAGCCTCATGTGCTTCATAATTAAAGTGGAATGATACTAACTATACCAATGCTTTTAGGATGATTAGATAATAGACGTGAGAGCACTTAGCCCAGTGCCTGACTTTGCTATGCATTCTCAATAAGTGTACTCTAATGATAATAATAGGACCCTTGGGGATATTGTTTGAGCTCAAAAATCACCTTCCTCAAAGATGGTTTGTATGCATTTTAGGTGTTCTACAATGGAAGGAATTCCAACTAGTTGAGTGTCTGCGTGCCACAAGGTTCTTATGTAAAAAACTGGTGGCCCCACAAATTTTTATATCTTCTTCTTCAGAGAAATAGTCTGGACAATGGCCAGCAGTGGGTGAGGAAACTCCTTTCTTTCTAAGTGCTCTAAGTGCCAAGTTTCCAAATGTTAATGGACCATATGGGAAACCAGTGGACTGGAGGAAAAGGACCCATGAAGAGCCTTGCTCTGTGGGAACAAGTTTGTGCTGACTGGATAAAGGTTAGCTGACATCTGTTCCAAGCACCTGCAGGATGAGCCAGGGCCTTTTGTAGAGAAGGCTTTTGTTTTAATTCATTGCTACAAGATTGGATGGAAATATATTGAAGAATAGTTTTAATGAAGAGACAGCAGGAGTTAATCAGTGGTGAGGTATCATGGCATCCTAGAAAGGAGTCAGTTAACACATGTTTTGCTTGCTTGCAGTCCACCAGGCACAAGAGACACATCAAATACAGTCTCTGCCCTCATAGCACTTATAGACCAGAGGGTAAATAAATATGGAATAAATAACTTGAAATATTTTAACTGTGTCAGCATTTGGAAATACATAATGCACAGCTTGGAGGAAAGCGGTGTGCTGTAAGAGGACGGGAGTCAGGTGGTGTGAAAACTGTCCTAGTTCTGACCCTAAATCAATGTATGATCTCAGGCAGTTTCCTCCTCTCTGACTCTCAATTTTGGCATCAGGAAAATAGGGGATTTAGCTTTGACAGCTCCAAGTTTGTTCCTCAACTTTAAGTACCTGTGGTGGTAAGATTTAACAGCATCATCTTATTCATGTGCCCTACCCCCCAAAAAGAAGCCAATTTTGTGAAAAAAAGAAACTTTCCATAATCCCTTTTATTACTCTTATGGACTATCTGCTGAGCCTTGGGATTAGCTATACAAATGCATCTATTTTGTTTGAGATGCCAGAGTTGACGCTGGGTGTCAAGTCTCAAAGCCCACTTCCTTCACATGCTGGATCTTGCCTGATATGGGTGTTAAGATTATGAATTCTAGAGTCAGACTAACTGAAATCAACTGAAGGAATTCATTGCACTTACTGTGTGACCTTGGGCAAGACAATCAACTTCCTTGGGCATCAGTCCCTTCATCTGAAATACAGAGGTAATTGGGAGGATAATGGTACTAAACAGATAGTGTTACTGCAGGGATGTAATGAGACCATGGATGTACCAGAACATAAACACCACGTAAATAGGAGCTCTCGTTACTATGTTAAGAAATGGGTTTGGAGTTCCTTGAGTGGTGTTGGTGACTTGATGGCAAACACTGGATGGTCCCTGCAATCTGGTTTTAGAAGTTTGCAGAGAAACATTAATAAGAGAACATAGCTACTTAACTGTGACCACAGAAATGCAAACCTTAGACTAGCAGTTCAAGGGTGTGAGCTCCGATTCTGGCTTTACATTAACTTACTAGGTGACTTTGGTCAAATCAGCTGTCCCTATGGGTTTTCATTAAGTCAGGATTCATCTTTTCTCAACTTGGGACTATGAGAATCTGATGAGGTTATATAAATGACATGCTTGGAAAGGCAGGAAGAGCTTCACAAATGTGAGCTCCTACTAGGAAGACTGGAGTCAGAGGCAGAGAGCATGGATAATATGTATGTGCCCTTCTCAGGTTTTCTGGAAATAATGATGCCACATAGTATGGATGGTTCACAATTGTTTTCAGGGCAATGGAAGGAAATGAAGATCTGATTCAGTTTTATTAGCACTCTTCCTTCTGATAAGCAGACTTTTTTTCTGGATGTTGTCATCTTGAGATGGTATGAACAAGTTGGAGTGTGAGTGCTGACTCTTGGAGAGCACTCAGAAAGAAGGCTGGCAGTCTTGAAGAGTATGTGCACCATTCTTCTGGGGTATGTCTGAGTTTTCTCCTCTCTGGATCTCACCTGTGCCAGCAGCCCTAGGGAGGACAGAATCAGACCTCTGAGAATCATTGCATTTGGTAGTCAGAAAACAGTCGGAGGCCTCTTTTCCCATTGGAATTTTTTAAACTCTCAACTTGGGTAAAGCTCATTGACCCTCAGTCTTCACCCTGCACAAATTAATCAAGATTCTCTCAGTCTATCTTTCTTAGCCATTGACTCTCTTCTACACTATGATTTAGCTGTGAACCCTGAACACTGATAGGAATGTTCTTATGTGAAAGCCTTGTGCAAAATGGCTTTTGTCATATCTAACCATTGAAAGCTGGTATTTATTGAGCTTCTGCTTCAAAAAAGCTATAGTTAGAGCTCTAGGAAATACAGTCTCATGGAAAACTCAACTCTCTATCTTTGAGGCTCTTACCTTATCTCTATAGAGATTAAACAAGAATTTAAAATACAGGCCAAAGCAAGATGCCAGCAGAGAGGTAGACAGAGCTAGACATCATTGCTGCCATTGCCACCACCACCTCTGCTCTGGTTGCTAAGAGCTCACTTCTTGGGAGAAGCTTTTCTGGCATCAGATCCCTGGGGTAAAATAAATGAGCCAGAGCAAGGGAAAATAAGTAAACCAACAAATAAAATGTATGTCAATATGTAGTGAATTCCAAATAGATGGTTCAAGTGGTAACTTCTACAAATATGCGAAAAATTGGAAATTCATGAGTCAGATCCAGCCCTTCTTCTCTTTTCTTCTAAAAAAAGAATAGGAAGAAAAGAAAAAAAAATAGGCCATGCATCATCTTTGCTTTATCTTGAAAAATGAAGAGATTTGGCAAACTAGACCAGTATTGGAGCATTTCACTCAGCAGAGCAGTAGCTACCGTTTAGACAGGGGTCGGACTTGCCAGGTCTCATAGCTCCTACCACCCCATGATGCCCTCATCTCTATCTTGGTCCATTTTCCTCATTTACTTTACATGCCTGACTCGTGTGGACACTCTGAATTAAGAACCTGCTATTGTGGTTCAGTAGAAAGAGGATTCATTGTGAGCTGTATAGGATCTCATGGACAAGTGGAACTTCCCATGGTTATTAAAGTCTAGATGGGATTTTGGTAGATAGAAAAGGGTTTTTCAAGCAAAGTGTGATCAGAGGCATACAGGAGGAGTATACATCCAAGAAGCAACAAACAGACCACTAGACTGAGCTGAGGGTCCATGTGGAGAATTGTGGGAATAAACACTGACAATGCAAACTGAGAAAGAACCTAGATGCCAAATAATTGATCACGCTAACAATGGATATCTCCTGAAGGTTTTTTGAAGTCAGGAATACCAGGAGGAAAACGGAGTTTTAGGAAGACTGTGTGCATGATACATAGGAAGGATTAGGGGGAAAAATGGTGAGAGGCAACAACATTAGTTTAGAGGCTGGTACAGAAATCCAGGATTGAGGGTTAGAGGGTCTCAGCATGGCTGGAAGCAACGGAAATGAGGAATACTTGGTGGGGAGACACTGAGAGGGAATAACTGCCAGCACCTGGTAATAGATGGTCATGTGGCACTGAGAGGCAGGACGGAATCAAATAAAAATTGGCAATGACCAGACCTGTGGGAGAGAGAAGCATGCTGGATGCAAGACCACAGTGAAGCTGCATTATCCTTTCCCCAGGCACGTGAAGAATCTTCTGGAGCGGGCTTTCTTCCAAGAAAAGACTGTCATTCTGGCCTTTCTCTTCCAGGAAAAAGATGTGACTCCAGATAAAAACCTACTGACCAAGGTTCGAGATGCTGCCCTGTGGCTGGAGACCTTGACGGACAGCAGACCTGCCAAGCCTTCCCTCTCCACCACCTCCTCCGTTGCCGATTTCTTCCTTGCCTTAACCATCTGCAACTCTGTCATGGTGTCCACAACCACCGAGCCCAGGCAGAGGGTAAGGACCAGCGATGACTGGGGGAAGAGGGGAGAGGAGATAGAGAAGTAGAAGGCAGGGTAGGGGCGAGGGGAGTTCTGATCAGGGAGACATGAAATTTGGGTCCTAGCGACAATGTCACCATTTCATTACAGTGAGAGCTAGAACAGGTCTCTTACCCTCCCTGGGTCTGTTTCCTCATTTTTAAATAAAATGGAAAAAGATATATATGAGCTTTTGTGTAGCTTTCAAATTTTGTCTATGTGTCTGCAGGATAGACATTATAAGTGATTACTGAGCACTTGGCTATATGCCATGCTCCATGCCCAACACTTTACCTGTATTATCATTTAATCCTCTCAACCCAACAACTCTGTGTAGCAGGATCTTGGATATAACAGGTGAAGAAATGGTGGCTCAGAAAACTCAAGTAAGGTAATGAAGGACATATGGCTCATACATGGCAGAACCATCTGCACGATTCCACAATAGTTTCTAGTCATTTTGTGCTGTACTGCTCTCTGTTTTTATAAATGGATTAAAAACAATTAATAGTGTGTGTGATGTTCCTCCCATGGAAATAATGCAGTGGGATGGTAATGTATGTAAAGTTATACTCTGAAATCTACCGAAGGTGGATTTGCCTTCAATCTTCCATAGAGTTAGCCAAGCTCCCTTGTGAGTCACTGATGAGAATAATTAGGTGGTACAGCTTGCAACTATGAAACCAAGACAAGATGTTTGTTTAGGCACTAAACCACAACCTCCCTTCATTATGCCCAGAATCTAAACCACCCTGAAAATCACTTTACCACTGAAAAGTTAGCAAGTTATCAGAAGTCTTCAGGAAGTTTTAGGAGGCAGAAAGCTGTATCTTAAAAATTAATTCTATTTTTAAGAGGGGAAGAAGTGTCATGTGGCGAAGGACAGTATACAACTCCCAAATTTCAAGTTAATGTGGGAGCTTCAGCTGGTAGGTGGCTCAAGAGCCCCAGCCTCTGGAGTCAGGCAGACCCAGGTTTGAGTTCCATCTCTACTGCCTATACACTGGGTGATCATGGCCGATTTATGTAGACTCTTTGTACCTCAACGTTCTCAGCCATATGTTGGGATGATGATAGCATTATTGGGAGGATAAACGAGATACTGCACTGAAAGATAAAGCAGAAGCCTTTACGGTGAGAGTTCAGGAAATGTGAACCTTACTATGAGTGTCTGATTCTCATCTCCTTTTCCTTCATTTGTCCACACCAAGAGTCGGATGATCAAAAGATAGTGGAAAATGACCATGGTCAAGGCTGGAGGGAAACATCTGGCCTCACTTATTGCAAAAGTACTTTCATATTCTGCAAAAGACAGCTTGGTATTATTTCCAACACTGAGAGTAACGTTCCACTTTCCTCCTTTGGCCACAAGGTTACCATCAAACCCTCAAGCAAGGCTCTGGGGACGTCCCTGGAGAAAATTCAGCAGCTCTTCCAGAAGTTAAAGCTATCGAGCCTCAGCCAGTCATTCTCATCCACTGCGCCCTCTGACACAGATCTGGGGGAAAGTTTGGGGGCCAATCTGGCCACCACGGACTTGGATGAGAGAGATGATGCCTCTGTGTGCAGTGGAGGTGACTCCACGGATGATGGTTTCTACAGGAGCAGCACGTGGGACCAGTGCAACATCCTGGAGTCTGGGTCGGGCACTTCCTTGGAGGAGGTGCTGGAGGCTCCTGCCCCAGGCCTGGCCAGTCCTGAGTTCTGTTACGAGGCTGAGAGCCCTGATGAGGCCGCCCTGGTGCACGCTGCCCATGCCTACAGCTTCACGCTAGTGTCCCGGACACCTGAACAGGTGACTGTGCGCCTGCCCCAAGGCACCTGCCTCACCTTTAGCCTCCTCTGCACCCTGGGATTTGACTCTGTCAGGAAGAGAATGTCTGTCGTTGTGAGGCACCCACTGACTGGTGAGATCATCATCTATACCAAGGGTGCTGACTCGGTCATCATGGACCTGCTGGAAGACCCCGCCTGTGGTGAGTCCCGCCTTACCAGGGTTCCAGGCACAGAGAGCTCCATAGTTTAAGAAGCAGTGTGGAATGGCAATAAGAAGCTCAAGTTGTAGTGTCACCTGGTAGAGCAAGTTCCAACTGGAATACAGACTCACAAGATGCTTTCCTCAAATATCCTTAAAACATGCTGCATTTTACATCTCCTTGACTTAGGGAATCACAGAGTTCACTAGCATAAAGACTGTACAGTCTTGTAGCAAATCAGCATCTTTAACTTCATCCTAGTTTTCCAAGCTCATTTAAACATGGATTATCTACACACAGTCTTTTGCAATAGAGCATCCATTATCTTACCATGAAACACACTGTGGTCCTAACTCTTCATTTTGGAGAAAGGCAACTCAACCCAGAAAGAAAAGTGACTTACAAGAGGTAACATGATTAACTAGTATTAAATCCCAGACCCAGGTATCCTGAATTCCAGGTCAAAGCTCGTTCCCAGAATTCTGCACTGGGCTTGGTGCACTCTGGGAAGCCTCAGGTGTTCCTCTTTATTATCCTTTCCCCAGCCTCCCCCAGATGGATTTTCATAAACTTTCACTGAGCCAGAAAAATGTTCCAACGTCCCAACATATCAGTGTCCAATTTTGGAACAGCATGAATTAGTGTGCAGCCGCTTCCTGATTGCTAACAAGGAGAAGACAGTTATGAGGCTATGATTCTCCCAGGATAGTAGATTCCAGCCAAGCTTCAGAATTGTCCAGGCAGCCCTGTGCCTCCTACATTATCAGCTATGGATCAGGGCCAAGAGGTTTAGGGGATTGATTAGTTTTTAGAATGGGAAGGGAGCTAATTAGTTCTCTTTATTCCCAGACTCTGGCAGACAAATGAATCCAGTACTTCTGAGTCAAGGGAGCCTCGGCAGCAGCCATCCAAGCTGCCCTGGAGATGTCTCTTTATTTGCTCCTCACCTGATTGCAAAATGAATTAGAGATGCTTTCAATAAAAGACATATGCAATGTTACTATAAGAATTGAAAAGCAAAACTTTGAAAGGAGGGAGAAAATAACCCCAGGTTTAATAATATTCATGGTTTAAATGTTCAATTTGATGCTGAGGTTCCTGGCAGCCTAAACAAAAAGGTAAACTCCAAGGCTTGCAAGTAAAACACAAAAAGGTTTCATCTTAGGAGCTGTCTTTAAAAATAAAATATTGTAAATAGTGCTGAATCAGACAACACACAAATGAAGACTATGCTTAAGGCATCAGGAACACCTGAAAAATTAGAAAATGATCTTTGGAACAAGTTTTATATAAAAATAGCCTTGGAGTAGTATCATGGGAAAATTGGAGTTTTGTTGGACTTCATTATACTTAGCTTGTTGTTAAGAATTATATTTTTAATTTTGCGTTATATACAAGGATGGGTGAGGTGTACAAATTCTGTTCATTCTTAGGACCTCTAAAAGTCTCAATCCAGCTCTGGTAAAGAAGGATTCTGAATCCTAAGCTCAGTGTTACAAGCGATTGATAAGTGATGTTTGTGGCAGCCTAGAAAATGGAAGTGATGATGGCATCAATCCCGCTCCACACCAGCCAACCCTGGCTGAAAAATTCTTATTATAGAATTAGATAAAGGAACTGGAATTTCAAGAGAAAAAGACAAATTACCTCTGACAGAAACTTATGTAGAACTTCACAAAGGGGACTTTGAGCAACACAGATATTTTTCACACTAGATAAATTGGAAATGCAAAAAAAAAAAAAGTTTTCTCTAAAACTTTTTTTTGCATTGAAAGAAAGTCTAGCTCAGCAAAACAAATGTGGCGAAGAACTTAGCTCATGAGATCCAGGCTTGTAGATGTCTTGGGACCTAACTTGATATAAGACCTCAAGGAGGAGACAGAGAAGATGATAAATAGACTTAGAGAACAGTTTCCAGAGTCAGTTGGCCATCCAGGGAAAAACTAAAAACACTTAAGGTAACAATAAAGATTCAGACTTCTAGTCCCCTGATTCAGCTGGGCTTTTACTGGACATGAGAATCTCTATTATTATTAAGGTGGTTCTCATGCAAAAAGGTGTTTGGGAACAGTACCTTATACCACCTACCTTCCTTAAATAGCACTTTACTCAGCCAGGCTTTTGATGAGAAGATGTAGAAAGCAGGCAATTTAAGGACTCCTTGCATTATCTTCCAGGGCAGCCTGACAGTCAGGAGAGCTCCTTTGTGTTTCTAAGGGTGGGCTGTGTAGGGGATTCCTTCTCTAAAGCATTTATAGTCTACTAAAGAAGATTCCAGCGTGTTGGAGATGGGGATCCCTGAGCGTTTGTATGTGGACTCATGGGGGACAATGGTTATTTGACAGTGCCTGACATTGATGTAGAAAAGAAGCTGAGAAAAATCCGAGCCCGGACCCAAAAACATCTAGACTTGTATGCAAGAGATGGCTTGCGCACTCTGTGCATTGCCAAGAAGGTAAGAACAAATTCCTCCAAGCATGCTTTCAGTATCATTAAATAGCTGAATGGCCTTGACCCTGCTTCTTTTTCTTTATAAAAGACCCTTAGAGGTGGTTGTTTTAACATTTTTAAGATTAGCTCTTCTGACTCACCACAAAAACAGAAGACACCGACGATTTTGCTGAAGCCAAAATCTGAAGAGTTAAGTCCCATATCAGTGTGGCTTTGCCATGACCTGCTTTTCATTATATGTGTAATGGGTAACCCACAACTCATGAAACAATTTTTTCAGTTATAATTTTGCTTTCCAATGACATTTTTTAGATTTGTATTATTTTCCTTTAAATTGCGGGAGCTTTTATATAGTCACATAAAAATCTAGATTTCTGGTTTCTTTGAAAAATTTAGAGGATCTGGCCAACCCTGTCTTTATTCTGGAATGGCAGCAATCAGCTACAACCAGGAAGAAGTTGATCCTATGAGGAGGCATATGTTCAGCTGTGTTCTGTGGTTGACTGCAGTCCTTACCACTCCCCCACTGCATTGCACTCAGCCTAGCCATACTTTTGTAGATTACCTAACTCACGCTTTGTAGATCTTTGACTTTGCAGCCTCTGCAAGAAAGGCAGGCCGTGAGGGCTATGAATTGGACACTGAATGAGGCACCTAAAAGCCAGCTAATAGGGATCCTATTATGGGCATACATTTCTAGATGGCTAGAAGTGGTTTCTCTTGTATAAACCTCAAGGGCTTTTCATCTCTTTTATTGTTCTTAGGGCAGCATTGAAGATCACAAGTGCCCACTTTAAAGCCAGCCACCTGGGTAGTAGTCCCAATCTCACTGCTTTTAGATGTGTGACCTTGAGTAATTTCTTCACATTTTTGAGTTTTATCTTTTTTACAGAGATATGGTGCTAATCAGCCTTGCCTCAGGTGGTTGTCATGGAGATTAAAGTAACCACATGTGCAGCACCTGGGACAGTGACAAATGCTTCCCACTACTTCGAATCGGAATTACACATTTATCACCTACTATTTTCTATTTAAGTTATTTGTGCATGTTTTGCCTCCCCTAATGGACTAGGTTTCCTCAAAACCAAAAGGCCTACTTGTGTCCCTTTGGTTTTCTCTGTTGCACCATGCAGAGAAACTCAAGGAATATTTGATGCTTGGACAAAATAATCTTTCATTGCTCTAAGATGCCATATGCATGTAATACCAACAGAAGGGTCTAAAAGTGCTATGGAACTCTGAGAGAGGAAGATGTGGCCACTAGCTGGATTATTCCAGCTTCTGGGCACTCCATGTGTCTGACATCATGCCTGGTGGAGTGCTCTACAGGCTCTGCAAGATCTGGCTGCTGCTTTCTTTCCAGCCTCATTTCTGAACTTCCTCCACTTTTCTCTCCCTCCTTCCACCACCTGAAATATTCAAGGAACAGAAGGAAGGCCAAGTTCCTTGCTGTTCCAGAGACTTAACTCTTGCTCTTGCCCTTGACTGATCCTTTGTCACTGGATCTCAGTTTGCGTGTCATTTTGTTGAGGAAACCTGAACTTCCAAAAGAAGGCAGCCCCCTATTCAGTTATTCTTCTGTCCCATCACATTTCCTCATATCACCCTTTTTTAAAAAGGTGATTATTTTTTAAAATTATTTACTTGGATAATACCTCTCACCCTCCACCAGCATATAAGCTCAGGCATGCAGGGACCTAGTCTGTCCAGATCATCTGCAGCGATCTGAGCACAGTAGGGGCTCAACAGATTTTTGGTGGTAATGAAACACAAGGATAACTATTCATTGATTTACATATTTTAAAAAATCATTGTGAATAAAGCCCCATCTAATTATGCAGGGAAGTTCAAACAGGCCAGTAGGAGGCCCAGCAGATGGGAAGAGAGGAAATTATCTTGTTGATCCACCCAAGGTTGTTAAGGAGCCTTTTCTCATCCCATAGGTTGTAAGCGAAGAAGACTTCCGGAGATGGGCCAGTTTCCGGCGTGAGGCTGAGGCATCCCTTGACAACCGAGATGAGCTTCTCATGGAGACGGCACAGCATCTGGAGAATCAACTCACCTTACTTGGTAGCTAAAAATAAGTCATCATTATAGGAAAAAAGGAATGTAGCAAGTTGAGAAGGGAGCTCTTGGCCCCGATTCTGACACTACTAATATGTCTCCATTAGCAACCTTCCCTGGGGTTCCCTTCCAGGTATTTGGCATAAATGGGTCGTGCCAATACCCAACCCAGATGCCACGCACGCTTCCTGAGGATGCCCTGGGAGCATTCCTACACTCCCTGCTAAAAGAAGCCTCTGAGTTTGGCTGCTTCTCCAACAGCACACTCTTCCCTTCATTCAAATGTTTGCTAAGCCCCTACTCTCTTCCCTTCATTCAAGTGTTTGCTAAGCATCTACTGTGTACCAAGTGATATGCTAGGCTTTGGAGCTGCAACAGGAGCCAAAAACTCTGCTCTCCCAGAGATTGGAGTCTAGTGAGGATATTGGATGATTGAGCAAGCAATTTCAACAAACTGTGATGAGAGTTAGGCTAGCAGATGGGCCAGGTGCGATGGAAGCACAAAGTAGGAGATGCCAGCCTAGCCCAGAGGTGAGGGAGTGTTGAGGAAGGCAGTGAACTGAAAGCAAGAAGAGAACCTGGTCAGGCAGTGTGGGAGGACCCAAATGAAAGCCTGGAGATCCAGGACTGGTGGGAAAGAGAGTGCTGGGGGAACATGATGGAAGGGAGGAAAGGTCAGCAGGACTCAGATTATGAAGGGCCATGTCAATCACCTGCTAAATGTTTGGAGAAGGCAGAGGGTGAAAGCAGGGACAGATCTGTGCTTTACAAAAACTGCTTTGATTGCTGCAGCATGAAAGTTAGATTGCTGCGCTGAGGGAGAGATGAGATGCACAGAGACTGGTTAAGAGACAGGCTGTGCTTCTGTTGGAGGAAAAGCATTGCCAAGAAGCAAGGGGGAGCTTTATTGATCAGGATTAAGGTCCTTACACCTCAGGAGCAAAATCTTGGTAAGCAATGCCCAAACAGCGTGCACTGACCACATGGCAAAAAGCCTTCTTTCTTCTTGGTGGACAATGCTGACCTGGGGATGAGGACCAAGGACCTGTCATGACCTTGCTGTGTGCCCAGAGACACACTCTTCTGAGACTTGTCTTCTCCTCTGGATGAGTCACATGCCTCCGGCTGCCCAGCCAGACAGGAGTTCAAGGGGAAAGATCCAGGGTCACTATAAACTGGTGATGCTGGCAAGTAGGATGGCTGACAAGCTGAGGAGGAGGAGCAGGATTAGCGTACGCATTAGCTTCCCACATCCTTCAGCCTTTGGTTTCCTGTGTCAGCTGCAGAGGCCCCTGCTTGCTGCCTCATAAGACCTCCTTTAAAGCTAAACCCAAGAACTCACTTGAACAAGAACCAAAGGATGGCTGGGCAAGACAACTGTATTTAATACAGGATGCCACTAAAAAGTCATCCCATTCAGGCACCTGATCCCCTTCTCCCCTCCCCGAGGTTTCTTTTGTTTCAGGACAGCACTCTAGGCTCAGTCTGTGAGAGATGTGCCTCCGGTTCTTCTGTGTGAAGAGACCATACTTGTCAGAACCTGCCAGCTTCCCCTAGCTGGGAAAGGTTTTCACAACCTTCCTGTTTTCATTTTCTCTTTCACACAAATAAATGTGTTTTTCCTCCTCTCTCCTTCACTCCAGCTCACTGTAATATAAATCAGCTTCCTCTCACCTTCCAGACTAATGCTTGAAGGGGAAGATGAGGCTTGAGCCATCATTTTTTATGGGGTTGTTTACCTGTGCATGTGGACCTCAGGTACAAAAAACAGGCACATTTCCAGAAAGTGGGGTTCTTTATCTCCCCTCGAGATGGCTTGGAAAGGAGAGGACTGGGCTGAAAAGAGAATTCAGCTTTCCACGAAGAAACTGGCATATCACTAAAAAGCTGTAATGCCTTCACACAGTCTCAAAATATGAAATGATCTTTTTAATATGCATCCAATGTAACCGCTTTGCCAACCTATTGTCACTGGATTATTAAAAGAAACAAAATGCTGTGCTCCTGCCCAGAGTGAAATGGGTAGCCATTAGTCTGTGATCTGAAATGAATCTCAATTGAAAAGCAGATTTATTTTTGCTTAATCACTTAGCAACTATTCAATATTTGGGTATATATTCATCAGGGTTGGTGCAAAGCTTGAGAGCCTTCAAAAATTATGGAATCTGCCTGTTTAATTCCCTCCAAGAATATTATCAAAAATGTCAGTCCCTATTAATTCTGCATTGATCAGTTGCAGGGCAAAGATTTCAGTTTTTCCATTGCTATTCCTATTGCTGCTAGGCCAGTCCAGGCCACTGTTACCTCTCCTCTGCACTCCTGCCTGGCCTCCTAAGTAGCTTTCAGTGCTGAATCTCATCCTGCTTTTCCAATCTCTAACCTGTTCTCTAGAATGATATTTTTTTTTTTTTTTTTGAGACGGAGTTTCGCTCTTGTTACCCAGGCTGGAGTGCAATGGCGCGATCTCGGTTCACCGCAATCTCCGCCTCCTGGTTCAGGCAATTCTCCTGCCTCAGCCTCCTGAGTAGCTGGGATTACAGGCACGCACCACCATGCCCAGCTAATTTTTTGTGTTTTTAGTAGAGACAGAGTTTCACCATGTTGACCAGGATGGTCTCGATCTCTTGACCTCTTGATCCACCCGCCTCAGCCTCCCAAAGTGCTGAGATTACAGGCATGAGCCACCGCGCCCGGCCTAGAATGACATTCTTAAAAGTCAAAACTGATTATGTCACTCCCCAGCATTACACCTTTGAATAGCTTTCTTTGCTACGAAATAAATTACAAACGCCTTAAGGCCCTGACAAGGATCTGCACAATCCAGCACCCCTGAGCTCCTTCTCTGTCCTCATCTCTCACTGTGCTCTGCCTCCATTTCTGTATCTTCCTCAGCTCCAACCTGTGAGACTTCACACATGCTGATCCTTCTACCTGGAATTTTCCTCCTCTGCCACCTCTTTGCATTATCTCCCAGGTCTGAGTTTAAGTAGCACTTCCTCAGCAAAGCCCACCCTGATTTGCCAGGTGAAGTTCAGATCTCCTGGTATATACTCACATGGTACCCTGACTTTCTCTCATTATATAGCTCAGTTATAAATTCTTATTCAATGACCTTTGAACTCAGAGGAAGAGACCAGCTCTATCTAGTTCACTGTCATATCCTAGATGCACAGCCTAGCACAGTGATGCTATCTTATAAGAATTGCCTGGCTTCACAGGGCTTTGGGGAAATTAAGCAACTACTCTTTTACCATAAATGTGAACTCTGTTGTCTTTGTTCACTCCAGGAGCCACTGGGATCGAAGATCGGCTGCAGGAAGGAGTTCCAGATACAATTGCTGCTCTGCGGGAGGCTGGGATCCAGCTCTGGGTCTTGACTGGAGATAAGCAGGAGACAGCAGTCAACATCGCCCATTCCTGCAGACTGTTAGATCAGACCGACATGGTGTACTCCATCAATACAGAGAATCAGGTAAGACGATTCTCTGTATCTACAGATATTAAAGTGCAGAGCAGCCCTCAGCCAAGAGGACACAGGCTTGTAGGTGGGATTTGGGTACACCAGGGAAGCACCCAACCCCCAACAGATCACTGAATCTTGGAGTCTGGAGGACCCTGGAAGTCACCCAGCTCAATATCCTTTATTTCATCCCCACACGTGGCTGGCTGGTCTCTTTTACATTACTTCTGGCACTGATTATTAGAGCGTTTAACCTCTCCCAGATTCCACTGTGGTCCAGTCTCCCCATTTCCCCACAGATAAGGAAACTGAAGACTACTGTGACTGAGTCACTTGCTCAGGTTTACCCTGCTTGTTTCTGATAAGTAGAACTAAGTCTAGAACTCTGTTCTCCTGCTGAGCTAGTGTGATTTACATTCTGCCACACTGTTTGCTTATGGAAGCTCAACTGTCAGTTTCTTTCTGTTTAAGACTAACTTATCCACTGAAAAAGTCCCAATTAAATTGAAATTATTCTGAGCTTAAAATTTCAGCATCAATTTATATGTCAAGCTGGTCTGCCACGGAGTAAAAACCTAAAAGGAATAATGCATGAAGCCAGTATGTTTTTATGGCATAAGAAAAAGAAAGAATGAAGCAAAGTTCTAAAAATTGCACGTTTCAACCAGAATAGATTATACGGGTGTCAGGGAGTGAGGCTTGGAGAGAAGAATGGGAAAGCTAAAGAGGCATATTCAAAGCTATAACACAATTTTGATTTTAGGGGGAAGTTATCTGTTTTCACAATGCAAATAGCAGAAGGCAAAGTTCCATCACATCTTCTTGGCTGATGAAGGTGGGAGGCGGGCATTGAGATGTGTGCTCCTATCAGAAGGAAGCAGGGATTAGATTCCATGGTGGATATTAACCAGAAGAGCACTGCACTGCAGAGGTGTGGGCATAGGCCCCTAAGGCACCTATGCCTAGGATACCATGGAGAAAAGGGAAGAAGACAGAAAAAGGAAAGGAGGGAGAGAGGACACTCAGCTCTTTAAGTTTTGCCTGAGGCTGACGTAGACCCACAGTAGAATGTTGGGGAGGTTTATATTTCATTTTTATTCCATGAAGCAACAATATACACCTCTTTAAAAATAAAATAAAATAAAACTAGTATAGATTGTGAAAACTGCCAGAGGACCTTTAGATTAATTGGAAAAATCATTTACTTTCCTGTCAGGTGCACAGATTATTAGATTAAACCTTAATGAATTTTCAAAATGAAAATAAGCTCAGGGAAAACTTGGCTTTAATATTATGCTTAGGAAGAAAAGTAATTTTCAGCTTGTTCAAGTGCTTGATCCCCGTGCCTGCCTGTCCTGCTTGTAATGGAAATTCAGTTTGCAATGATTCTTTCACTCCAGGTAATGCTAGAAGGAGAACATCTGCAAACCAATGAGGCAGCCAGCCAGAGGGAGATTGAGTGGACTACGATGTGTTCTGCTAAATGCCATGCATTCCTGTAGGAAGCTGAAGATGTGCTCCTTGGTTAAATAGCCAAAGCTCCTAAGGAACAGTCAGCCATACTTCACCTTTAATCCAGTCCATGACAATTCTTTCTGTCCAGTATCCTCCAGGATAGTGCCTGAATCCTCAGCCATGCCTACACGCTTCAGCTCACTAAACCTGTAAGATCAGTCTTTTTATCCCTTTACCTGGGATGAAAAAGAAAATATGTTAAGCCAGAAACTGGGGAAATACATTCTAAATCTTAGATTTATTTAAACCCAGTTTAGTGTAGTTACATATTCAGTAAATATTTCCTCCAAGGTTTTTAATTTGCCTAATTCACTATGAATCGATTTAGGATTACTATCTCTTTGCTAGGTATGTTAAAGCACTAAGCAAGTTATGGGATCTACCTAGACCTCAGAATTCCCTTCCCAAAGATGAGAGAATTACTAACTAATCACTGGAAGTGTTCATCAGTCAAGGAATTTTAAAAGGAACTAACGTATTAGACAGGAACTAATAATAACAACCACTATTACTGCTATTGCAACACATTGTTAATAATAATTAACAACATATATTGAAGTTTTAATATAGTTCAAACACCATACTACTTGAACTTCTATTCTCCTCATCTGTAAAACAGATTAAAAATATTAATTTCACAGATTATTGGTAGGATAAGATCGTAGAAGAAAACTACTTAGTATAGTACCTATGTTAATTATCTATTGCTACATAACAAATTACCCCAAACCTTAGGAGCTAAAACAACAGACCTTTATTATCTTATGGTTTCTGTGGATTAGGAGTTTGGGAGCATCTTAGCTGGGCATGCCTAGTTCAAGATCTCTCTTGAGGTTGCACACAGGCTATTGGTCAGGGCTGTGGGCTCATCTGAAGGCTCAACAGTGTGGGTGGTTTGGGCATGGGAAGGAGTTCTGCTTCCAAGTTCACCCATGTGACTGTTAGCAGGCATCAGTTTCTCACTCTGTGGGCCTCTCCACAGGACTGCTACACAACACGGCAGCTGGTTTTCCCCAGGGCTAACCATACAAGAGAAAGTAGGAAAGAGCACCAGATTGGAAGTTACTGTCTTTTTATAACCTAATATGGGAGGTGACATCCCATCACTTTTTCCTTCATTAAAACAAAGTTTCTAGATCTAGCCCACATTCAATGAAAGGAGATTATACAAGGGTATGAATATCAGGAAGTGGAAATCACTGGGAACTATCTTAGAGGCTTCCTACCACAGTATAGGAGGTATACTAAATGTCCTGTGAATGGTAATTATTGTATTACTTTAAAAGCTGGAAATAAGTAAATTCAGAGATTTAATTTCAAAGCTTATGTCTCCAATAACTTGCTTTAGTCATACATTGGAGGAATTTATATAACTGGTACCAGGCCCAGCTTCCAAAGGACCACTTTGATCTCTTTCCAAATAAGTGCCTCTGGTATAAGCACACACTTCAAGAACTGCTTCCTATGGCCCCTCTGGGCTCTACGCATATTTATTGCCTGCAACACACAATTTAGCATCTTAAAGGTAGACTCAGGAATAATAAACTATGTCTCTGTTCTTTTCAAAATAAGCTATGCCAGGGCAGGGTGCTGTGACTCACACCGTAATCCCAGCAATTTGGAAGCTGAGGCAGGTGGATCACTTGAGGTCAGGAGTTCAAGACCAGCCTGGCCAACATAGTGAAACCCTGTCTCTACTAAAAATATAAAAATTAGCCAGGTGTGGTGGCGCATGCCTGTAATCCCAGCTACTCAGGAGGCTGAGGCACGACAATCACTTGAACCCAGTAGGCAGAGGTTGCAGTGAGCTGAGATTGCACCACTGCACTTCAGCCTGGGTGACAGAGACTCTGTCTCAAAACAAAAAATTATGGCAGACATTTTCCCAGACAGAAATCTCTAGATCAATGTTCCCTAGGCCTGTCCCTTCAGAACTGCTTTCACAATTTTTGACAAAATCTGTATATTGTACTGGTTTTTTTACTTAATAATTTAAGTTGACTCACTTTGAATATTATTTTTAGAAGAAACTTTTAGCATGTTAATAAATGAAAAATCATTGTCTCTTTTCATGGATGAAGGAACACTGTAAAATGAAGACCATGTGAAGAAAACAATGCTGTTAAAATTGATAGTGCCTTTTTCTACCACAACTATATTAAAAAGTGATGTTCAGAGAAGTTGAACAGATATCAAGAATAAATTTGAGCAAACTTCTGCCAAGATGGCCAAATAGCAACAGCTCCGGTCTGCAGTTCCCAGCAAGAGCACGCCAGAAGACAAGTGATCTCCGCATTTCCAACTGAGGTACTAGGTTCATCTCATTGGGACTGATTAAACAGTGGGAACAGCCCAAGGAGGGCAACCCAAAGCAGGCTGGGGCTCTGCCATACCTGGGAGGCACAAGGGGCCAGAGACTCTTGCTCCCAGCCATAGGAAGCCATTAGGGACTTTTCCCGACACTCCAACACTCCAGCTCAGATACTGCACTTTTCCCACGGTCTACACAACCCATGGACCAGGAGATTCCCTCTGGCGCCTACAGTGCCAGTGCCTGGGGTTTCCAGCACAAAACTGGATGCCCATTGTAGGCAAGTGGCACCTGGAATTCCAGCAAGACAGAACCACTTCTTCCCCTGAAAAAGAGTGCTGAAGACAGGGAACCAAGCGAGCTGGCTAGGCGGGTCCTACCCACACACCCCCCACCACCAAAGATGGGCAAGCTAAGCCGCACTGCCTTGAAATTCTCACAGTGAGCACAGCAGTCTCAGCTTGACCTGGGATGTTCAAGCTTGGTGGGGGAAGGGGTGCCCGCTTCAACATTGCCTGTGTAAACAAAGCCACTACCTCTGGGAAGCTCACACAACAGCTGGGCAGAGCCCAGCACTGCAACTCAGCAAGGCCTCTGCAGCAGACTGTCAAGTAGATTCCCTTCTCACTGTGCAGGGTATCTCAGAAAAAAAAAAAAAAAAAAAAAAAAAAAAAAGCAGCCTGTCAGGAACTTACAAAGCCCCTACCTTCCTGGGACAGAGCACCTGGGAAAAGGGACGGTTGTGGGTTTTGCTTCAGCAAACTTAAATGTCCCTGCCTAGCAGCCCTGAAGGGAAAAACAGAGCCCCCAGAACAGTGCTTGAGCTCCATTAATGGACAGGCTGCCTCCTGAAGTGGCTCCCTGACCCCTCATGTATCCTATCTGGGAGACACATCATACAGCAGAGCTCTGGCTGACATCTGGCAGGCACCCTTTTGGGATGAAGCTACCAGAGGAAGCAACAGGCAGCAATCTTTGCTGTTCTGCAGCCGCCTTGGGTGATTCCCAGGCAAGTAGAGTCTGGAGTGGACCTCCAGCAAACTCCAGCAGACTTGCAGCAGAGGGGCCTGACTGTTAAAAGGAAAACAAATAAACAGAAACAAATAGGTTCAACATCAACAGAAAGGACGCCCACTCAGAAAAGCCATCAAAAAGTCACCAACTTCAAAAACCAAAGATAGATAAATCCATGAAGATGGGAAGGAGCCAGTGCAAATAGGCTGAAATCGCCAAAAGTCAGAACACCTCTTCTTCTCCAAGGGACCACAACCCCTCCCCAGCAAGGGAACAAAACTGGATGGAGAACGAGTGTGACAAATTAACAGAAGCAGGCTTCAGAAGGTGGGTAATAACAAACTTCTCCAAGCTAAAGGAGCATGTTCCAATCCAATGAAAGGAAACTAAAAAACTTGAAAAAAGGTTAGATGAAATGTTAACAAGAATAACCAGCATGGAAAAGCACATAAACAGCATGATGAAGCTGAAAAATACAGCACGAGAACTCCATGAAACATACAAAAGTTTCAATAGCCAAATAGATCAAGCAGAAGAAAGGATATCAGAGATTGAAGATCAACTCAATGAAATACAGTGGGAAGGAAAGATTAGAGAAAAAAAGAGTGAAAAGAAATTAACAAAGCCTCCAAGAAATATGGGATTACATGAAAAGACCAAATCTATGTTTGATCAGTGTACCTGAAAGTGATGGGGAGAATGAAACCAAATTGGAAAACACTCTTCAGGATATTATCCAGGAGAACTTCCCCAAACTAGCAAGGTGGGCCAACATTCAAATACAGGAAATACAGAGAACACCACAAAGATATTTCTTGAGAAGAGCAACCCCAAGGCACATAATCGTCAGATTCACCAAGTTTGAAATGAAGGAAAAAATGCTAAGGGCAGCCAGAAAAAAAGGTTGGGTTACCACAAAGGAAAGCCCATCAGACTCACAGTGGATATCTTAGCAGAAACCTTAGAAGCCAGAAGAGAGTGGGGGCCAATATTCAACATCCTAAAAGAAAAGAACTTTCAACCTAGAATATCATATCCAGGCAAACTAAGCTTCATAAGTGAGGAAGAAATAAAACCCATTACGGACAAGCAACTGCTGAAAGATTTCATCACCACCTGGCCTGCCCTACAGGGGAACCTGAAGGAAGCACTAAACATGGAAAGGAACAACCAGTACCAACCACTGCAAAAACATACCAAACTATAAAGATCATCGACACTATGAAGAAACTGCATCAACTAACGGGCAAAACAACCAGCTAGCATCAAAATGGCAGGATCAAATTCATATATAAAATATTAACCTTAAATGTAAATGAGCTAAATGCCCCAAAAAAAGACACAGACTGGCAAATTGGATAAAAAGTCAAGACCCATCAGTGTGCTGTATTCAGGAAACCCATCTCACATGCAAAGACATGCATAGGCTCAAAATAAAGGGATGGAGAAAGATTTGCCAAGCGAATGGAGAGCACAAAAAAAAGCAGGGGTTGTATTCCTAGTCTCTGATAAAACAGGCTTTAAACCAACAAAGATCAAAAGAGATAAAGAAAGACATTACATAATGGTAAAGGGATTAATGCAACAAGAAGAGCTAACTATCCTAAATATATAGGCACCCAATACAGGATCATGCAGATACATGAAGCAAGTTCTTAATGACCTTCAAAGAGACTTAGACTCCCACACAATAATAGTGGAAGACTTTAACGCCCCCCTGTCAATACTAGACAGATCAATGAGACAAGATTAACAAGGATATCTAGGACTTGAACTCAGATCTGGACCAAGCAGACCTAATAGACATCTACAGAATTCTTCACCCCAAAACCACAAAATATATGTTCTTCTCAGTACCTCATCACACTTATTTCAAAATTGATCACATAATTGGAAGTAAAACACTCCTCAGCAAATGCAAAAGAACGGAAATTAAACAGTCTCTCAGACCACAGTGCAATCAAATTAGAACTCAGGATTAAGTCACTCACTCAAAACCACACAACTATATGGAAACTAAACAACCTGCTCCTAAATAACTAATGGATAAATAATGAAATGAAGGCAGCAATAAAGATACTCTTTGAAACCAATAAGAACAAAGACACAATGTACAAGAATCTCTGGGACACCTTTAAAGCAGTGTCTAGAGGGAAATTTATAGCACTAAATGCCCACATTCCTGGACACTTACACCGTCCCAAGACTAAAGCAGGAAGAAGCTGAAACCCTGAATAGACCAATAACAAGTATGGAGAAATAGCACCATACCAACATGACATGTTGTCATTATTTATCATCATATTAGTAGTATTTATTATACCATCCTTGTATCTGTCTCCATCTTGCTGAGCTATTTTTACTCCCATTCATAAGCAGTGTCTTCCATTTTGGCTATTAATTTGGCTCCAAATTAATATTGTTTTGGTATTATGTCAAATACTGCAGAGAAATGTAAAAATTGAAGAATAACCTGTAAGTAATCGCTATAGTAGTAGAGTTTTATGACTATCTTACTAAAGAATAAAATGAAATTGTTAACATGCATTTCCAAGTTTGCTTACAAATACTGTATTATTGTTACTCTTTATAGGAGACCTGTGAATCCATCCTCAATTGTGCACTGGAAGAGCTAAAGCAATTTCACGAATTACAGAAGCCAGGCCGCAAGCTCTTTGGGTTCCGCTTACCTTCCAAGACACCATCTATCACCTCAGAAGCTGTGGTTCCAGAAGCTGGATTGGTCATTGACGGGAAGACATTGAATGCCATTTTCCAGGGAAAGCTGGAGAAGAAGTTTCTGGAATTGACCCAGTATTGTCGGTCTGTACTGTGCTGCCGCTCCACACCACTCCAGAAGAGTATGATAGTCAAGCTGGTGCGAGACAAGTTGCGCGTCATGACCCTTTCCATAGGTACCCATCATGCTGAGATATGGGTGGCACCTTGGCAGGGAAGATCTGATAAGAGGCTGGATCAGAGGTGGGAGGTCAGGTCTCAAAGTCAGGATGCTTAAGCTGTGAGTCGTCCTCTTAGAGGGAGAGAGTTCAAAATGACAATCAAGATGCAGCAGCTGGGGGATGCAATGGGACCGTGCAACCAAGTTCTTGGGACTAGCAAGTTAGCTAAAGAACAATCAGGACTTAGATGAAGGTCAAAACCAACAGAGGCCTTGAATTCAGTACATCCAGGTAGCTCAAGAAATGTTGCCATCAATGATGTATACTCAGACTATCTTAATTCTGGGATGCAGATCATTTTCCCTTTAGTACTTTATACATAGCACAACATCACATATTTAAGGATTTGATATTATTCTGAGTGTTGATGGCTGGTGGAGACATTTTAAAGATTGGTAGTCTTATGTTTAATTTTGTGTGTTTATTTCTAAATATGAGGCCAGCACAAAGTGTATCACCAAAAGATGCTAGCACTGGTTGATGAAGAATTTTTCAGAGGGAGCTAAACTTTAATCATGTTAGGACAGAGAAATTAGAACTGCACTTACTTAACATCTTTCAGGAACAACCAAACCCAGTTTAAAGGAATCTTCATGATCTTCTGTTACCTTCAGCCACATCTCTTGTTGTGGCCACCTTTCCCTCTCCAACTTTTGCCTTTCCATGTTCTAACAAATGAAACCATTTACCATTCTCCATGGACCTTGTCCTCTCTCACTTCTGGGACTTTGCACGAGTTATTTCCTCTGTAAAATACTTCTTCTAATCCCACCTAACTTTGCTTTCCTCTGGGGGTTCCCACAGCACCCAGTAGTCATAGCTCACTGTCATACCTTCTGTGATGGCCTCAGTAGACCATGAGTCCCTTCAGTAGAAAAATCATGTCAGCCTAATTCAGTGTTAGATCCCATGCCCAGCACAAACCAAGCACATAGTAAATATTGCATTCACTTAGGGACATTCTTACGGTTGGTGCCAGCCTCTCCTCCTCCTACACAGGCATGGGAAAAGATTTTCTTTCCTGACATTTCAAATAGGAACCCTATTAAACATGATGGTTTTGTTCCTGGTCTTCAGGTAAGAACAGTAGAGAATAATAACAAGAGTGGAACGGAAAGAAAGCAGAGAGCAAACCTTTAGCAAAGACATCCTACTTTTATGCCCGGAATCGTCCTCTTCAGAAATTCAGACACACACAAGGCAGTAGCCAAAGAATGATTCTCTGAGGTCAGATATTGACTTCTATACCAAGCAACAGAAAAAAAGCCAGTGTGGCAAGAAATAGCATGGTTTCACACCTCTAATTCTCCTGGTTCACTAACAGAAGAGGTTAAAGCTTGGATTTCTTCTGCCATGGGGATGATTAAAATTATGCATTGCTATGCAATCAAGAAAAAAAATAATTATTTTAGAATAAAGGCTACTTATGGCAAAATTTTTAAGACCAATAAATGTATCATCAGTTAACTAGAAGAATCATTCTCTCCCTCCCATTCCACATTCTATGCCATAATATAAATTTAATTGTGGCTTATTCTGAGAAACTACTAGAAAACAGGTAGGGCCAGGAAAAGAATCAAGTTCAGCATAGTCTACAACAAGGGTTGGCAAACTATGGCCTGCAGGCTAAATCCAGCCCATGGCATGTTTTTGTATGGATACTAAGAATCATTTATTTTTCAGTGTAAAATTTATAAAAGACTAATAGCCTTTCAGCAAGAACAACTGTTCAATGTTGCTTCTTGGCTCACAAAGCCTGAAATAGTTACCACCTTACCCTTTACAGAAAAAGTTTGCTGAACTTTCATCTAAAAGATAAAGCACTGGGGAGAGTTCAGCTTCTGGGGAAGGCCTTCCCGTATAGAGCTATCTTTGGCTACTTAAATTTAATTAAATCAAATTCACCAGCAAAATTTTTATAGTCATATGTGGCTACTGGTTTCTGTATTGGACAGTGCAGATATAGAACATTTCTCTCATCACAGAAAGATCTTGAACAGTCTTGGTACAGAAGACGACTGTGTGTGTAATATGTGTGTGTGTGGGTGTGTGTTTCTATGCCTTACCTCCGGTTTTATGAAACAACTCAGTTTGTTGAATGGGAACTCAGTGTGATTATATTTCAAAAACACAGTCAATCTCATTTTTGTACACTGAGAAACAAAACAGAAGGTCATCCCTATCCTTGGAAACCATTGACAATCTGATGATTTCACTGTGCATACTGCCCAGTTGTCTTGATATGGTCAGTATTTCAAGTTTGACTGAGGGAAGTGCATTGGCCCTGGAATCTGAAGGATCGAGTTCCATTTCTCCTGGGTCCTTTCTCTAGCTGGATTACCCTTGCCAAGTCTCTAAGTTGCTCAAATTCTCCATTTGGTTATCAGTAAAGTTTATTATAACATTTATGAGGGCATTTTTTGGGGGGAGAAATGCCCAAGTCTCTTGATTACCATTCTATTCCCAATACCTAATGTTGTGCCTAGAAAAAAGACACTTAGTAAGTCACATATTTGTTGAATGGTAAAGAAAAAGGTAGGATTTCTTGTCTAAAGAAGAAAAGATGCCTCTCACGCTAAGTACTACAGCAATGACATTCTATAGAACTATTCAGAGTAATGTTAAAAGGATTCAATTATGCATAACTGGGGACACTTGAGAGCTACCTCATTGTCACTGAGTAGTTGGACCAGAAATAAAGACACCTCATGACCTCTCTTCTTTCAGGTGATGGAGCAAATGATGTAAGCATGATTCAGGCTGCTGATATTGGAATTGGAATATCTGGACAGGAAGGCATGCAGGTATTGTTCTCTGTAACTCTTCTTGTTTCTTCCTTCCTTTCTTTGGTCCTTAGTTGAGATACAAGGAATTCTCCAGAATGTTGGAGAAACTTCTCCCTGAGAACTTCTCCCCACATCCAAAGTTGCAATGCCCTCCCTAAGCAATGACAGACAGAAGGACATTTGAAATCATTTTGTAAATGACATGTTTGTCCTGACAGCCAGTTTGACCCACAAATTGCTTGGTATACTCGCATAGTGTCAAAATTTAGTCAAAATTCACCTTGGAAGAAGCATACTAACTTGACTGCTAAATTTTCCCATTAAAACAGAGAACATTTTGTGGGTTTTCAGCCATTAACAATTGTGTTTCCACCACCAGTGCAGACATTCAGCACTGCCTAAATTTTCTGATGAGGATAGAGAGCATTGACTGTGAAGCCCGAGAATGGTTCTGAAATGTTTACCCCTTGCGTATCTCCTATATGCCAGCAATCTGTTAGACCAGAGCTATCCAATCTTTTGGCTTCCCTGGGCCACATTGGAAGAAGAATCATATTGGGCTACACATAAAACACACTAATACTAACTATAGCTGATGAGCTTTAAAAAAATTGCAAAAAGTCTCAATTTGGGGCCTCATTCAAAGCCATCTGGGCCACATGTGGCCTGCAGGTTGGACAAGTTTGCGTTAGACACTTCGCATTTGGTATCTCATTGAATTTTAATCATCACACCCTGTATGTTAGGGATTGCTATTCCATTTTTAGATGGGGAAACTGAGGCCCAGGGAATTAGCCAAACCAAAATTTATACCAGGATTTATAAACAGGCATGTTCAGTGTTCACATTTTTAAAAGAGTACTATAAACTGTGTCTTGTTCTGAGTAATCCCAGGGGCAGAAGACATATTTCAGCTCCATGTGAAGGAAGAGCTGTCACCTATCAGCTCCATCTGTGAATGGAGCCAATGGCCTGCCTCAAGTGGGGGTGAAGGGTGTTCAGAGGATTGAAAATTGCTTGAATGGAAGCCCCTACTCTCTGGCTAACCATCACATGCCTAGCATGGTGCCTGTCACATACTGGGCCACAGTAAATGCCTATTGGATAAATGGATGAAGAGCCTGCCTAGACCCTTCTGATCTGCTGTCCTTGAATTCTAGCGAGATTTGGATTTCCCAGAAGAGAGGGTGGGGTGTCAGACTCTAAAAAGCTACCCAAGAGTGATCACAACAAGGGGTCTTTAGGACTCTGTTGGCCCCAGGCCTAGACCAAAGCAGCGCCCTTGAGGTAGTCCCTCTGGGGCAATGGCAGCCATGGATGGAAGCTGATGTGTCTGCTCTCCCCTCTCAGGCCGTCATGTCCAGCGACTTTGCCATAGCCCGCTTTAAGCACCTCAAGAAGCTGCTGCTTGTGCACGGCCACTGGTGTTACTCGCGCCTGGCCAGGATGGTGGTGTACTACCTCTACAAGAACGTGGTGAGTAGCCTATGGCACCCTCCCACCCAGGCCTTGGCAGTCCTTGCCATGGGGCCAGATCTCCCCCCAGCAGTGGACAAAGCACCTCAGCATCATAAGGGAATGAGTCAGGCTGGCATGGTATTGGATCTTGAAACTGTTCCTTAATAGCTCTGTGACCTCGAGCTAGACTCTTCACTTTCTATTTTTGTGAAGTTATTGTGAGAATTGGCAATGCTATATGAAAATCACCTGGCACAGAGAGGGCACAAATGGCTACAAGTGTGGACTCTGGAGTCAGACACGTAGGGTTCAAATCCAGACTCCCATATATAGTAATGTCGCTAAATTTCAGTTTCACCATCTGTAAAATGGGGGTGGTGATAGTACCTTTTTCATATTTGCTACGAGGATTAAATGAGAGCTTGTATATAAAGTGATCAGCATATCATAATCATCTATAAAATTAGCCATTTTTGGTTATTGTTGTTGCTGTCATTACTCTTGGAGTTAAATCTCATAAATGAGATTATCTTAATGTGACAAAGAAGGATTTGAAGAGCTAGTCTGACCTGTGTCTTAGATTTCCTCTCCGTATAGAGCCAGCTCAATGCAAGAGCTATACCCCATGCCTTGGGAGAGTAAAGGTGAAAAGCACCTCACAGAATGTAAGGCTGAAGCCCATGGCTCCAACTTGAGACGTGCACATCACTTCAGTGCCCCTGAGCTTTATTTCAGGAAGTTCCTAGAGGGCAGGGTGCTAAATGAAATATCTACTTGGCAAAGATGTTTGAGGTGCAGAGATTGTCTGGGCAATCTTACTGGACTCCAGCATGCTGTGTGACCTTGAAGAAACTGAGGCACACAGAGATTAATTGGTCTTTTCATCAATAATATGGGGAGACTGTGTCAAGAGGCCTTAGTGTCAGAGCTCTGAAAAGCATATAGCCCCATACAAATACAAACAATAAGTTGTGTCTCCTAACGAGTATGTTGGTTTCTGTCTTGTTGATGAGGGCCCAAAGCAAACACAAAGCAACTGAAGAATGAAAACTGTCAGAGGGTTCTTGTTTGAAAAGTCCTTTATTAACAGTGGGTATAGGAAGAAGTCAGAACTCTGCTACACTAAGGGAGGAAACAAAAGACTGAGTTTTTCATTATCTAGTTCAAAGCCTTCGAATAAACCCCAAGATCCTCCAAACAGAATTTGACTCCTCCTTGAATAAGTAAAAGGAGAGTATTAAGGCCAGGGTGGTGGAAGAGAAATATTAGCCAGGTAGCAGCTACAAAACTGCATTTTTTCTCTTGCTCCAGTCTTTCTTTCAGACTGACACCGTCACCCTTGCTCAGAAGTGACTTTCTGTGCAAAGTTCAATGTATATGTAAATAAATAGCGTGATAAAAGCAATGCAAATTCAATCAACTCGATGGCAATATTATCTCAGCAAGTCTACGCAAACAAGTCACTCCATCTGACTAGAAGCTCACTTTGAGAGTGAAAGACTGTTTACTTAGAATTCAAAATGCCCCCCATTTAATTTTTTTGGCAGCTCAAGGAATAATTCTTTTGAATAAGCACAGCCTCTTCTCTGCATTAAATTTGTGAAATAGAAAAGAAAATGTTTCCAACCAGCCATGCTGTCAAAGCTTAAATGATATTTATTTCCAGCCCAATGCCATGCTCAAAATTGCGATACTGATGCCACATTATCTCCCTGTTGTAATTAGAAGGTGGAGAACTATGACTTCCACATCCGAAACCAATTTCAGAGGGGATTAAAACCTGGCCTGCTCTGAAATTTGAACAATGAATTAATTACTGCACTGTAGCTTCTTGATAGAAAGAGCAGGCGTCCAATCTCAGCGATGCTGCCACAGGGTTCGATGCACTCCCTGCAAGGTACAAAAGATTCCAGTTAAGCAGAAGTGAAAAACAAGCAAGATCTTACCAGGGCCTCAGAAGGAAAGAAGCACTCTGTAATGCTAAAACTCCAGGATGAGTGTTAGAATAGAGCTAAGATTAACTACGTCAATTGAAACAGCAATTGAATGTCTGCTGTGTGTCAGGAACAGGGCTGAGCCATGGGCATAGAGCAGGAATCGAGCCATTCATGACCCGCGGGAGGCTTCCTGTCTACATCTGGGCTCAGGAAGCTTTTTCTTCAAAGAGCTAGACAATAAATACTTTCAGCTTTGCAGGCTGTACATGTCTAGAAGAATCTAACTGTGTAAGTCAAAGACAGGACCGAGAAAGTTCAGAGGTGGTTAAAGAGAAAGAACTTTGAAATTTCACATGCTGATTGATTGTACCACTCTCTAGCTCTGAATTTGGGCAAGGGGCAATGGTATCTCAGAGTCTTGGATTCTTCATCTGTAAAATGGGTCTAATAATGTTAATATTATTGTTAATATCAATATGTGATATATTAGTACAATATATAGTACTATTCCTCCCATCCAAGTACTAACCAGGCCCGACCCTGCTTAGCTTCCAAGATCAGACGAGATCAGGTGCGTTCAGGGTGGTACGGCTGTAGACAGTACTATTCCTATCAGCTCAGTGATATTAATCTTGCAAGGTTGTTAGAACAAACTATCACGTGTATTGCACATCCAATGATATACTAGATGCTAATATACTGATGTTTATCTCACTCCTGGCACATAGAGAAGGTCAAATTTTATAACTGATGTTACTACAACTAATAGCCCCTCCAAAATAACATTGACCCAGCAGTTTAGAAATAGGAGTTCCAGCTTGAACAAAAAACTGCTGGATGATTCCTTGCAAGACCCTTCACATCTCTGTGCCTCTACCCCACATAATTGAGATGTTCTAGTCCTAACTGCTGGACCAGCTGCTTCTATGTGTGACCTTGGTCAAATCACCAAACCATATTGCAAAATGGTAGACAATAACAGTGACCCAGCCCATCCACAAGAGAGGAGATCTTGAGTGGGGAAAAGTTTTAGAAAAAAAATGAACAATGTTTTGGCAGATTTTCTCATTCACCCTTCTGAGCTGCATGACCATTAGGAAAGTATAGCGAAGTCAACCTTCTCACAAGGTCATCCTCCTACCAGGTGTCCTGCTCATGGTTCAGTCTTTCTATTACCCCTTCGTCAGTGACGTCCCTTTCTATTACCACTTTACCACCATTCATATTTCACATGCCATGGTCTAAGTACTACTATTCCCAGCTGACAGAGGATAAAACGTTTAGAAAGGTTAAGCAGTTTGTCTAAGATCACACAGCTAGTAAGTGACAGACTGGGGATTCAAAACGAGGCCTCTCTGCCTCCAAAATCTGTGCTTTTAACCACCATAGTACAGTAAGTCCTCACTGAGTGTCATCAATAGGTTCTTAGAAACTGATGTTGAATGAAACAGTTATTCCAGAACTTTCCCTACATTATTTCGCTTGAAGTTGTAGTTTCTAAGAATTTATGGGCAATGTTAAGTGAAGACTTACTGTTCACTCACCTTAAACAAGTTGGTGGAGTTTCCTTCAGGTCCTGAAGAATGTTAGTAGTGATAGTAGTAACAGCAGCTACTGCTCTAAGGATTAGAATTATCTCTAATCCTTACATAACCCTGCGTGAGGAATGAGGAAACTGCCACTCCAGTAGCTCCCAGAGCTCCCAGGCAGCAGCTGGTGACCGGCTGCACACGGGTTCTGACTCATAAGGCCATACTCTTTGTCTGCAGTGCTATGTCAACCTGCTCTTCTGGTATCAGTTCTTCTGTGGTTTCTCCGGCTCCACCATGATCGATTACTGGCAGATGATATTCTTCAATCTCTTCTTTACCTCCTTGCCTCCTCTCGTCTTTGGAGTCCTGGACAAAGACATCTCTGCAGAAACACTCCTGGCATTACCTGAGCTATACAAGAGTGGCCAGAACTCTGAGGTAAGGGGACCCCTCCACCAAGGGTGGTGACTTCAGGTTCTTACTGACTTCTTCCTCCCCCATGGAGGCATCAGAGAAAGAGCTGTATGCAGGGGTCAGAAGCCTGCATTCTGACCACTGTTCCATCACTTTGAGTAACTCCTCTCTCCCTTTCTGACCTATTTCCCATTTGCTATTGAAGGTGTTAGACCAGACTAGTGGGTATTTTAATTATTTCTTAATTAAATCACACATTAATATGGGACTGCCCTAGTGGAAGGGGAAGAGGCATGAGGAAAGATCCATCCCTTTCAGCAGACCCCTCCAGGATCTGAGATACAGCGAGAGAACCCCCAAAGCCCAGTCTGGGAATCCTCGGGATTTACAGCTACTTTGCTTTTCACTGGGTAAGGTACACAAATGCTTCTCTTTCTTATTAGGGAAGGCAAAACTTAGAACCCAAAATTACATGTGTTTTAGGACTTGCTGGTATCAAATAGACTAAGGCAGGCCTGAGAAGCCATCTGGTGTCTTCCTAGAAGGCCCGGAGGGGCCACACTGCAGCACTGAATGATTTGGAGAAGTCAGACAGCAGGCACTCCCAGCACCAGCAAGAAGTTGGATCAAGGGACCCTGAATGCCTCGAAAAGGGAGCTCTGGGAAGAGGGACTTTGCAATGCCAGAGAGTATCTTTGCACCTGGAGGAAAGGAGGGCAAAGCCAAATGTGGTGTTTCAAAGCTGGCAATTATTTATAGACAAGCAGCAAGCCCAGTTGTAACCCAAAGACAAGAGGAGAAAGCGACACAGCAGCCCAAGCAGCCCAGACAAAGGGGGTGTGGTAGGAGTGTATGTTCATCTTGGTCTCTTCTAAGTTTATCTTTCTCATCAACATGCTGGCTGCATAACAAATGTATCTAAAAGAAGTTAATGAAGCAAAACCCAAAAATGGTAAAGGTTTCACTTTTCCCAGGGAAGGCACAAAGATTGAAGTTGAGCTTGAGAAACTCTTGGGAATCCGTGATTCAGGGCTATGATTGGGATCTCTCTTTCAGATGCCACTTAGAAATTTACAATCTCTACACTTACCAAGTTTGTAGTAGCACTAGAAATACAGCAAAGAGTGATAATAATGAATAACCAAGTACTTGCTAGGCACTAAGTCCTGAGTACTTACTAGGTACTAAGTCACAAGTGCATTTAGTCCTCTTTAACTCCAAGGTAATAGGCCGTATTATTTTTGCCCACATTTCATGGAAGAAAAATAGTTAGTTCTCTGAGCAACTTAGTAATGTTCACGAGGTTATACAGTTGAACTGAAGTCTGTCACCCCCAAGTCTGTGCTCCTAATTACTCCATTTTATTGCCACAAATACAAGAGTTAAGTGTATGGTTGCCTGTCCCAGCCGCTGCAAGAAAGTTGCTTGCAAAGAACAGAGGCTTCCTATAAGAGTGGTAATTACTGGTGTGTTCTCTCCTGGCAGTGCTACAACCTGTCGACTTTCTGGATTTCTATGGTGGATGCATTCTACCAGAGCCTCATCTGTTTCTTTATCCCTTACCTGGTAAGTTGTATAGTCCCATTCTAACCACATACATTGCAGAGAGGAACTGGTCCTTTTTATATAAAGTTCCAGACTAGTAGGGTCTTTCTGGACACTTTAGAGCAGAGGCTCACACTGGTGACCTGCAAGCTACATCCAACCCAAGATGTGTGAAAAGTCAAAACACTACCTTAAGATTTTGGTTTCTGCTGGCACTTGAAAAACTGAAAGCTATATTTATACTGGATCTTTTTTTTCCTCATAGCAAAAATCTAGACTTGACTTTGGAGCTGGGCTCACCGCTTAAACATATTCTTTAGTCTCTACCACTCCCCTTTGTCTTACACCTGGCCATCTTTTCTCATTAACTGTTTCCTACTTCAACACTGAAGGTATTTGAATTTACTACCCTTGATTTTTATATAGACTTAAGGAAGATTAAGGAAGCTAGTGTTCAGGCAGCAAGTTCTGATAATGAGGTACTACATTATCTGAAAAAAAAATAGCAAGAATGCAGATAGCAAGGGATACCAGCCCAATCTCAATTTGATTCCTCTGTTTAAATAGTGCAAATTTAGGTAGCAAACAATATATATATTCTTTCTGGACATAGGGAACAAGATGGGAAGCAGTTACCACCAGGTAAACACTGTTGCTTATCCAGTCTCTGGGTTCATATTCTTTCATAATTAGCAAGGTTACGGAATTAGAGGAGGCAGGGGTCTTGTGCTTTGCTTGAATTTCCTGGCTTAAAATACCCTCCCTGGCCAGGTCTCTGCTTGGCTTTCCTGCTTTATCTTTTTCCCTTGAAGACGTGCTACAGACCTACAATGTAGGACTCTTTGGAGTTCTACAAACCTCTGTGTTCACCCTTAGTTCTGACCTTTGCTGAAACTGCATTTACCCTCTCTTTCCAAGTGATTAACTCCTCTTATTCTGATCTCAGCTGATCTATCCTCTCTTCTGTGTTTCCAGGGTACCTTGTACTTGCCTCTATTACTTCCTTAAATTGTCCCACATCTGCCCTGCTAATAGACAAAACTCATTTTGTAGGCAAACACAGAAGTATCCTCAGCTGTTAGCATAGTGTTTGATGGGCTTTCAGTGAATTCTTCCTTCATTCATTCCGCAATGGTTTTACAATCCCCATCTTGGCTTACTCTTGCAAACACCATTTCTAAATTAGTCCTATCAGTTCCTTTCTTGTCTCGATCTGTTCCACGGATCAGTACCACGTGGATAGCAGCTAGGTACCTCCTCCTTCTCCATTGACAACTGCCTTCATTGATGCTTTATAATCATGGTGTCAAAGCCAAGGTTTTAAGTCCACAGGCGTATCTGATAATGACTGTCTGTTCCTCCTCTGCAGACCTATAAAGGCTCTGATATAGACGTCTTTACTTTTGGGACACCAATCAACACCATCTCCCTCACCACAATCCTCTTGCATCAGGCAATGGAAATGAAGACATGGGTAAGTGTCACTGAGCCCCCTTGGCTTAAAAATAGTGCTCCTGTCCACTGACTATACTCAAATTTCTGAATTGTTTCACTCTGTGTTATTTATCCACTCAATAAATACACACTAAGCTCCTACCTACGTCCCACCTGTACAGAGAAGAAAGAGGTTAAAAAGATAAAATTCTGGCCTCAACTTGCTTTTCATCTAGCCAGGATGTTAAAACACATATAAAATAAGGAGACAATTAGTTGCAAAAATAGATAATACCAATTGATAAAAGGTTCAGGGATATGGCCAGACACGGTGGCTCACGCCTGTAATCCCAGCATTTTGGGAGGCCAAGGTGGGTGGATTACCTGAGATCAGGAGGTTGAGACCAGCCTGGCCAGCATGGTGAAACCTTGTCTCTACTAAAAATAAAAAATTAGCTTGGTGTGGTAGCAGGCACTGGTGATTCTAGCTACTCAGGAGGCTGAGGGAGGAGAATTGCTTGAACTCGGGAGGTGGAGGCTGCAGTAAGCCAAGATCCTGCCACCACATTCCAGACTGGGTGACAGAGCATGACTCCATCTCAAAAAGAAAGTTCAGGGGTGTTTCAGAGACAAGGAAAACACTGACCGTACATACCTAAGGCTGTGTTAGGAGGGAATTCTACCTATTTAATTTTAATTTTAGGGTGAATAATTAATTAGAAACCTACCTCCAGGTATCCATATCTCAAGCATATTCAAATATCACATTTTGATATCTAAGAAGGCACTGTCACTTTTTTGACTGGATTCTTCTATTCAGTGATAACTATAAAAACAAATAGCATACAATTCTATGCCTGGTGTCTCTACATGATTAGCATGTATTATTTAATCTCCTGGAGCCCTGTGTGTTAGGTCTTTTTTTATTCCCATTTTACAGATTTAGAAATACGGTAGATGCAATAAGGTTAAATTTGCCCAAGCAGTGCAAGATAGAAGCAAGTTTTGAACCCTGGCAGTTTAATGTGAGCCGTTAACATCCATGCTAACAGTGTAAGTAGATAAGATTGAATGGTACACGGGGACCACTTTACAGAAAGATTTGTCCTTAGCCATGCTGAAATGTCTTTCTGGACACACTAGTATTAAAAATTTGGAAAATGGGAGAGAGGATCCAAGATGGCCATTTAGGAAGAGCTCAGGATTGCAGCTCCCAGTGAAAGCGCAGAGGGTGAGTGGACGCCGCATTTTTATTGCCCACAGACTAGGAAATTCCCGGGCAGAGGAGCTCCACGGTCGCCAGCGCGGCTGTTTCGGCCAGCGCGGCTGTGCCGGCCAGCGCCGCTGCTTTGCCCCGCGCGGCTGCTTTGTCGGCGCCCCGGAGCCGCGGTTCTCCGTACAAAATACACCGGTCCCGGGGCCCTTTTGGCTGGTGATTGGAGCCACGGGAAGTCGCCCATGTGCCTGTTTAAAAAGGGGACTGAGCAGAGAACCAGGACAATAGATTCCAGGACAAAAAAAAAAAAAAAAAAGGCGCCACAAACCTCAGTGCCGCTGTTTAAGCCAGCGCAGTGAGTGGCTCCAGGGGAAAACAAACAGACCCCGGCGCCTCTTCAACAGGCGACTGGAACACCAACTTAAAAAAGGCTCTAAGGCAGGGAGCCAGGCGATCAGGCTCGGGTGGTCCCACCCCCACAAAAGAACAGCAACCAGGAACTCTGGATTGAGACTTTCTTTTTTTTTTTTTTTCCCCATTTATTTATTTTATTGCATTTTAGGTTTGGGGGTACATGTGAAGAACAGGCAAAATTGTTGCATAGGAACACACGTGGCAGTGTGATTTGCTGCCTTCCTCCCCATCACCTACATCTGGCATTTCTCCCCTTGCTATCTCTCCCCAGCT